AGAGAATACCCATAATGCACCGTGAGAGTTACGTGCCGAATGAATTCCTGCATCTCGCTTGCAGCTGAATAATCAGTCCGTTCATTTTTACAAAGCGCTCATCCATGGCGTACAGCATAATGTACGACACGGCTATAAATTCATTGTAAATTGATTATGAAATTGTTTGATTAGGGTTTATACATAATTTCCGTGACAGAGTTCAAGATAAATCCTTTAATCTTACAACTGGAGCTGCTAGTGTTGCTAGTTTCAAATGATTAATAAACAGCAAGCACAAACTATGCGAAAGCGGCATTCCTTCCGGTGCACTCAGTGTCCAAATTCATTACTCGTTTTCATTCACTCCTTCTAGTGAACTGAATTAGTGACCTAATGTAGGGAATAGTGAATGAGGGTATAGGGGGCCATTTCGGACACAGCCTATGCCTAGTAAGAGCTTGATTAGCTGGTTCAGGTGCATTTAATTAGGGTTGGAGCTAAACTCTGCAGGACACAGGCCCTCCAGGACCGAGTTTGGACAGCCCTGCTTTAAACACGCATATACCTGTATATATTTTTTGGAGATTGAATGCGAAAAGCCTGTATAACCTTGGTAACTAGACAAGTCAAGGAAAAAATGTAAATTCATATCTTTGATTCTTGGAAACATGAGACGCTAATAAATGGACCCATGGTCACTGCAGGGACATATAATAGGGATTGATTATATAATCAGCCATATTGTGCATTCGTCTGTAGTGCTGTCACACCAACTTATTTGCTTTTATGGTCTGATCACTATTGTGTTACTATGTAGAAGAAGATGTATTCTGAAACACAAACGAAGCCTAATTCTGGTCTATAGCATGTTTTACATGAAGAATCCATCCTGTTCCAATGTTGTTTAGTGCAGGGCTAATGTTAAACCCAGGCTATGGGAAATTGACTCTCAATTAATTATTCATTTTCTGTCTATTTTGTTTCTTCTAATGGTAGACGGTTTCTCATAATCTCCTGACTGAGCTGAAACTGTTTGGTGAGACGGCACAAGAGCATGCAGCAAATTTACTGGTGAGTATCAGTGTTGTTGTTTTTTTTTTATATTCAAAAATACTGGGTTATTTATCCTGATTTGAATGTCCTGCGGCACTGACCAGACATTTAATACAAATGTTTCACTAAGACTGATTTATATGAGGATGAAATTACACACATTCTGCTCTGCTGGGCTAGAGGCTGTATAATTAATCCTAATGCCAGGTCCACAGCTGATAAAATATTAATTTGAAATGTTCTAACCCTTCTAAATGTTATTGAGTGTGCCTCTCCAAAACTACTGGAATATGGCATGACCTAAAACGGGTTCAGTGAGGATTTTGTCAGCCTCTGTTTGCTCCTCTGTGAATGCTTGCAGGAAGTGCAGAACATCATGAGGGACCTGACGGAAGCGCATGGAAAGCTTCAGCAGGAGAGGGCATTGTTCACTTTGGACGTGGAGGAAATGGAGAGAGATTTGGGGGAGGCAGAGAGACTCTTGATGGAATAAATGAAAGAAACTCTTTTACTGGCCATAAATACTGCAGTGCCATATGGTGTTGTTCGGAGATCTGTCAGTCTGAGAATGAGAAGCATTTGAGCAAAAGTGTAACATACTGTTGCATTTAAAGGAACATACAGCTCATACCATTTGAAGAAACACAAATTTAAGAATGCTTTATGATCAGAATCTGTTTTTGTCTGCTTACAAGTTTAAGATATTAATGTAAACAATTTTCATGCACCTCTAGAACGGCAAGGCACTTCTTAAATGATGCTTACTGTATATCGTTTTCATTTGAATTCTTTGTGCAAACATGACCTTAAACATTATTAAATGTTAAACTGGCTTCAACAAGAGACGTGCCTCTCCTTTACATAGTGTTGTGCCATGTCATCTACTTCCATTATAGTATCTGAGACAATGATGCAACTATAAGTAATAGTTACATGTTTCTAAAAACTGAGTATGCTTAATAAGCATTGTCCCATTTGACATGGAGATTTAAACCACAATGCCCTTGTGATGTGTGAGTTAAGACCAGCCATTTTTTTGAACAATAAAATGTATCTTTCTTCATTCAATCACTTTTTCCTTATGATGCATTTTTTTACACATCTATCCGAACACGTCATGACTGAAATGGCCACTGAATTGAATTCATTGCCATTCAAATGAAATGGTCTTGAACTAGGTAAAGGAATAGTTCACCCTAAAATGAAAATTTGCTGAAAATGTACTCGCTCTCAGGCCATCCAAGTTGTAGATGAGTTCTTCTTCAGAACAGATTTTGAGAAATGTAGCATTTCATCACTTGCTCACCAATGGATCCTCTGCAGTGAATGGGTGCCGTCAGAATGAGAGTTCAAACTGCTGATAAAAACATCACAATAATTCACAAACAATCCACACAACTCCAGTCCATCAATTAACATCTTTCGAAGCAGAAAACTGAGTGTTTATAAGACACAAATCCATCAATACATTGCTTCTGGCTAAAATACAGAGTCCTGTTTCCATAAAATAGCTTTCTCCAGTGAAAAAGTCATTTTGTCTGAATCAGAAGAGAAATCTGAACAGCTCAAACACTGTTTACAAGCAAAAACAGCTAAAAATATGTTGGTGGATTTTGATGTGAGAGCAGGAGGAGGAAGCATTATTACACTTGAAGTGTTATTATGGATTATGGACTTGTATTTTGGCCAGAAGCAACGGTTTAAAATGAAAACGCCTTAATGTTGGATTTGTTTCTTATACAAACATGCAGCTATTGACTTCACAAGACATTAATTGATGTACTGGAGTCATTTGGATTACTTGTGAATTACTGTGTTGTTTTTATCAGTTGTTTGAACGCTCATTCTGACGGCACCCATTCACTGCAGAGGACCCATTGGCGAGTAAGTGATGCAATGCAAAATTTCTCCAAATCTGTTCTTATGAAGAAACAAACTCCTCTACATCTTGGATGGCCTGAGGGTGAATTAATTTTAATTTTTGAGGAAACCATTCCTTTGTGCGCATAGTATTTTATTCACTAAGTATATATACAGTACATACGTATATATGTCATATGTATATATGTATATACGCACTATCTCTACACTGCTAGACTCTGATGTTCATAACAGAGGATAGATTTCCAGTGTGACAGTTCTCTTCATACTGCCAGCTTGCATCCACTTGTTATAGAAAAAAGTCACTTCACTTGAAACAATGTCGAATGTGTTGAATCCTGCATTACTGTAGTAACCAATGCAACGTCAAAAAATGACACCCATCGCCTCAACACATACCTCATTTGATCACGTCCAAGAAATTGTATGGACAGTCTGTTCTACATGATCCGATCTGAAAAACAAAAACTCCTGAACAGCATGAGCATGATGTAATGAATAATGTGGTTGAGCCAAAAGTGAAAATTTTCTGTGAAATATGTACCTCATCCATTTAATCATAGTAATCAAAACAAGTGCATTACAATGATGAAACCTCAATATCAGCAAATTACAGTGATACAGTGTTCCTACAATAAGCAAATGAAAAAAAAAACATTTGGACATTTACGCCACACTTAAAATTGTATTATTGTCAATGCATTATATAAACAAAAATCAAACCAAAACATCACTTGTTTTAAAGAAAGACAGCACAACATAAATTCTGAGAAAAGTGCCGTTTGTCAAAAAATGTCAATTTTTTGATGATCTGTTATCTAACGCAAAAACATTCATACATTTTTAAGTGTAGCTCAAGTGTCCAAATATGTTTGGGGCCACTGCGCATCTCATCAGTGAATGTGTCGTATGAATACAGATGACATTTCGGCAGTCTGCATCATTTAAACACAGTACACACTGTGACTCTTTTTGGCATTTAGTCAACAATATGTTATATATATATATATATATATATATATATATATATATAACTGACAGGTAATTTACTTTGGGAATAATGGCAGCAAAATATGAACACAATATTACTTGTCATTTGTTTATAATAAATATGATTTTTAGTTGGAAGTGAGTGGTACTTTAATGTGCAATAGATCCAGAAATGATGATGACATAAATATTATTATTATAATAATAATAAATACTCTTAAAGGGCAATATTATATATTTTTCTTTCCTTTTGAGACTAGGGTAAGTTTAGGGCCATGCTGCGTTAATACTGTACACCACAATATGGCACGCTGCAGATTTTGATCAATATTTTAATTTTGAGTTCATTTTTTAATCCAGTTTAATGCATTATAATGCTCATATATAATGCATTGTGAGTAATACAGTTGTAGGAGTCACTTCAGTAACAACTTCTCAAAGCAATTCAAAGTGTTAACAACTTGCTTTGAAGTGCATATTCTTCTCTCTGGCTCATTCCGATCAATAACACTTTGCATAGCACTTTCTGTCTTTGGAAGTAATGTAACGTGTTTCCATTTGAATTTTCAACACAGCAAGAAGCCTGTCCTTGTCTTTTTCGCTGTTTTAAATGACAATTAATGCATAGAAAAGAATAAAACTCTTAAGGCACCAAAACATACTCTACAGAAGCACGCAGATGCTCATACAGTTACAATCTCAGTGCGGAAGGGGGCGCCGTTACTCCCATAAATGTTTTGAATGTTGGTCATGTACTTGCGTAGAGTAAGTTTCAGGCCACATGTTGAGTTCATGTCAGAATGATCATATTTATGAGTTAAGTGAGCATGAATGCCACCTTGAAGTTGAAAGTACTAATGAGAAACCTAATGTCTTTCACATTTATAAATGTGACATAAAACGTCATTAAAAAAATCTAAATGATGAGTTCTTAGGTCATAATTATTATTTCAAAAGTCAAAATTTGAAGCCATAACTATGATGAAAATCTAAATCCTAATCCTTTTTTATCTCAATTTTGATTTATCATGGAGTATCTCATATTTCTGACTTATATTTTTAACTTAAGATAACTTTTTCATTTATAATTCATAATTTTGACATTTTATATCATAACTTTTATCTCATGATTTTGGCCTTGTCAAAAATGGATCTCATAATTATGATTTAATATCCCCTAATTTTTATCTCATAACTATGACATAGTATCTCAAAATTTAGACTTTGTATGTCATAATTATGAACCTTACCAACTTAAGAGCATGTCAACTACAATATTGCTTTTTTTATTTTTATTTTTTAGCATTTTTTAATCAATCACAAGTTCTCATTATGACTGTTGATGGTGCAGTTTAGTTGAGACCTTTTTATTCTATCTAAAATGACCTGAATGCGCATCATAATGCACTTATAATTTCTGATTAATTCTTAGGAGTACTTGAATGTATCACCATAGCATTATAACCTTATGTTACCAGCCCATATCTTTAACCACACGTCTTTCCATCTCATGCACTATATTTAATTTAGCACTGATGTTCTTTCAAACTGAAATAAATATTTGTTCAACATTGAAGCAGATGAGAAATCTGTGTATATTTGGGATGGAGAGACAATGTGGCACATTTCTTATCATCTCTCTGGGTGACTGGATTGTACATACACTGCAAGCCAGTCAAACACACTGGATTGTGACTTGCTGAAATGATCGGCTGTGGGCATCACTAAAGAACTACATCGACATGGCACAAATCTACTCTACAGTAAAAACGTTTCCTTTTTGTACAAAATTGATCCTAAAAATATACACACATACAGCATATTTTACATACAGTATTGCTAACCTAAGAAAACGCTCATTTTCTTTTCCCGCTTAAAGCATCACTCTTTTGGTTTAAGAGAGCAATACGTGTGCAAAGGCAGTATTTTCAGTGCTGCTTTTTGTCCAGAATGAAGCCGGCCGTCCCCAACATGAAAATAAACCCACACAAAACACATTGTTGTTCCAGTCTACCACACACTGTACAAGTTTCCGCTGATGTTTCAACTTCAATTCGAGTTTTGGAGATCAGAGCGAGATTCAATGAATCACTCAAGCGTGTGTTTGCCCACACATCACGACTAATCCCGGAAGGTTGCTATGGAACGGGAATTCATAACAAAGGAATTTCCTTCATCCGTCTTTGAGGGTCTTTGAGTCTTTAAAATTAATACCACCTCTTACTAAAGAGTCTCACAGTGCGAAGTCTCCGCTTCTTCTGGGCCACGGTTAATCTTCCGAAATCCACCCAAAAATCATTAACACGTTAACAACAAGATACTTCAATGCTCTCCTCCTTTCCTTAAAGAGAGGAGGCCTAAAATACACATTTCGGGGAAAACAAGAAACTTAGAACCAGCACAACAGTTTGATTCGTCCCGTTTTAGGGCTCAACTTCCAGTCTCCAGCCTCCTCGTTTGTTTCAAGTCATCGGTTCATTAGACAAATGAGGAAAAGCCAGTAACTGGAGTGCGTGTGCCTGGTGCGGGCTGCCCCGTGGGGGTGTAGACGCCCCCTACGCTGTGCTGGGTCACCACAGTCTGATAATACCCCCCCTCTGCATCCGTCATGGCACATTCCTCGTACCCTCCTCCGGTCTTCACGCCTTTGGACTGCCGCTTCCACGAGTTGTAATAAGTGGGGTCACTCATGTAGTGATTTACGAATGAGTGCTTGGGCTGCTCGTCTTCATAGTCGCTGTCGCTGACCTTTACACGAGGGGTGACGGGACGGGTCGAGACCAGAGAGAAAAAGAGCAGAAAGTAAAGTTACAGTGTGGACGTGACTGTGACCTGAGTGTTTAAGGGTGTACAAAGTAAGTTTTTGTTGGCTGACCAATACAATAGTGGTCCTAGATTCTATAGTGACACCTACTGGTATGGATGAAGCATTTTGCAATGTTGTTTTCAGATGCCACTGCGGTGGTGAAAAGACATTGACTTATTAATTTGTGGTCACGTTTTATTAATTTGTACCCTCACTTTAGTTAAATTGTGGCCACGACTTATTAATTCATTCCCCCGTTTTAGATAAATTGTGGCTACATTTTACTCAATTTTTCATTTCATTTCTTTTAATTTAATTAAGTTGTGGTCACATCCAATGAACAAATAACAAATTCTTAATTCGTGGCCACGATATAATTTTTTCTTCCCTACATATCAGGTGCAGGGCTCCGTAAAATACCCTATTTGCATTATATTTATTAACATTATTAATTTATTCTACAATCATTTATCCAGTTGAATGTGTCAATTTCAATTTATTTATTATTTACTATTTTAATTTGTAATTAGTACGCCATTATTTTACTTTTTGTAAAAGTAAAACTCATTTGTAAGCAGAATGTCTTTGTATACCAAACTAATTCAAGCATTTAAGTACGCCTTTATATCAAAAGGTTTTCAAATTGGAACAATTAATTAAAATATTTTAGTGAAGTGTGTCCAAACCTTTGACTAGTAGTGCAGAATAAAACAGCCTCAGATATTACATTACAGTAACATTTAATCATTTACACATGCAACTCACAAGTGAGGACAATGGAAGCAATCAAACCAACAAAAAAGCAACATTATGTTTGATATAACGGCAGTATTCATATCATGTGATTGTACTACATTTTTAAATAATTATTTATTTTAAATAAAAAATAAACAAAAGCTGTTCATTTATTTTTCATTTTAATAGGTTTAACATTTTAAAGTTCTGGGTAACACTTTAGCATATTAGCTGTTTATTAGTACTTATAAAGCACATATTAATGCCTTACTCTGCATGACCATATTTTAGATCCCTTAATCCTACCCCATACCGAAACTTAACAACTACCTTACTAACTAATAATAAGCAGCAAATTAGGAGTTTACTGAGGGAAAACTCTTAATTAATAGTGAATATGTGTTCCCTATTCTAAAGTGTTACCAAGTTCTGTTTTAGAATAAGTACATTTTCCTTTAGCAACTCACACTTGACTGAAGTTCAAAAGATGTAATGATGCTTAAAGGGGTCATATGATGTGATTTCAAATTTTCTGTTATTTTTAGCAGCATCATATGACCCCTTTAAGACATAAGATTTCTCTAAAACTCCGTCGTACCCCCATGGAAGTTGTTTATGTGTGTGTAGTCATGCGTTATTGGTGTAGTGTGTTTACCTCTGACTCTGACAGCTCAGTGGGTTTCTCTGTAAGCGTGGTACTCTCTGTTAAAGCAGCCCCATTGTAGCTGTTGCAGATGTCTTCATCAGAGTAGTGCAGACCACCTGGACTGGGCCGTGGAGGAGATCTGGAGATATCATAACATTATTACAAGCTGCTTGCACATATCCACAGAAGAGCTATTTCAAGAAAAATTGTATGTGGTGATACATTTTAAAGTGCCCCTATTATGGGTAATGAAAGGTTCATATTTTGGTTTTGGGAGTCCCCAGTTCAAAAAACACTTTCATTGTCTTATATGCATTTATTTTTTACCTTACTCTCAACGACTTCAAACGATTCGCTCATCTAATCTGCGGTGATTGGTCCGATTGGTCTCATTTTCATTTCATCATGCCTGTAATGCCTGATAAAGAGCACAGTGCTGCTTTGTGTACAGCCGTTACCGGCGAAACCGCTATTTTTACCACTCTACAAGCGGCACCTAGTGGCAAAGAATGAATTTTACCCAGTAACGGCTGTACACAAAGAAGCACTGTGCTCACAAACGCTGCTTTATCAGGCATTACAGACATGATGAAATGAAAATGAGACCAATCACCAGATTAGCGTCACGCAAAGGAGGGGTTTGGAAAAATGAATCGTTGAGCGAATCGCTTGGGTGTCGTTGAGCAAGTAAGGTAAAAATAAATGCATATTATAAGACAATGAATGTGTTTTTTGACCTTGCATGCATGTCAGCCTATTTTTGGGGACTCCCAAAACCAAAATATGAACCTTTCTTTACCCATAATAGGGGCACATTAATAGCAGTTCAGATGAAACCCCACCTTGTTCCATTCTTCTTTAGGAAAGAGCTCTTCACATTCAGATGTCTGCTGTTCAGCTCTAGAGCCGTGAAGCCGCCATTGTCAAGAGTTACAGACTCCTCTACTGTAGTAATGTGTTTTCCTGTGGGAGGAATTACATCCAAGTAATGACAACAAACACTGGGATGTGTAGACTGATTAACTACATTAACTATGAGCTATTTTTTTATGTATTTCATAGAATTACATTTTCCCCCAACAGCTACACAAGTGACTCATATGAAGCAACTACAAATACTTAAAATCTTTAAAAGCAAGACTTCCAGAAACCGTGTAGGAAGCAGAAGTATTGAGGTGGTATCATAAAATACAGTGATTGTATCAGGTGACAGTACTTTGATATATTCCACATTCGGTACCTCAAAAATACCACATTAATACCATCATAGTAGTGTCTAAAACCCTCTTGTGTCTAAATGACCCTTTAGATAGTTTTAGTTTTAATATTCATTATTTTGCCGATTACGTTTTTAACAATTAGCCCAAATTCATACTGGTTTAGAACAACATGAGAGTGAGTAAATGAAAACAGAATGTTCAGTGCTCAAAGCAGTTTCAATACAATACAAGCATATTATCGATTTATATTATTCTGTTTAGTCTCACCTGTTCCACAGCTCCTGTACTTCTTGTTCTGTCCCAACAGGAGCAAACCAAACACAACCATCAGAATGAAAATGAGACTGATCAAAGCCATGACGATCAGGAACCACCACTCCTCATAGAAAGGTGTTTCAGACAGAGCTACAACAGACAACAATTCTGCATTACAATACAACATATTGCTATTTTACTGTTGGCATTATAAACATCAGGGGAAAATGTATTATTATATTATATTATATTATATTACACACTACAGTTCATTACATTTTTTAAAAGAAATTATTACTTAATTATTTAACTCAATTATTTGCATAGTCAGCAAAGATACATTAAATTGATTTAAAAAAAGACAGTGAAGACATTTATAATATTACAAAAGATGTGTTTTCAACATTTATATTAATAATAAGAAATGTCTCTTGACCAGCAATTCAGCATATTGGAAAGATTTCTAATATTAAAATAGATAACAGTATTTTGCTTCAGTGTGTATAAGAGAATTCTTTCAGAAATACACATATAATATAATATAATATATAAAAAAATAGTAGTAATTTCAACAGCACCAAATAAGTCTTCAGTATTTTTTTAATTTACTTATGGATGAGTGAATGTTCAGCTGTGTGACACTAGATGGGAGTAGATGCCAGAAAGTGAGTCTATAGTGCTCCACAGTTCAAACATCCTCACTGAAGTAGAATGCCTCCCAGATGCTTGAAAATGAAGTGGAATACTAATGTCCATACTCTAAACAGCAAAATTATGAAAAATGAATTGTGATATAGTATGCAATTGACATTAGTCAGGGAAAATACTGTATCTGATGTGATGTAGCCTAAACAAAAACAAAGCTGTGGGACAGACATAGAGTCTGTTGAGTGGGTTGTCAGTCGCATCACTGTTGAATATAATGCAGTGGTATGATATAATGAGGAAGATTACCAGACATTGCAGTGGAAGGTGGACTGGGATCGCCATAACCGAAACGATTGACAGCGATGACACGGAATTCATAGGCCACACCTGAGCGTAGGCGGTCCAGACTGATGGTGTACGAGAAGCTGCCAGGTGGGAGATGCTTGACAAACGTATCCCATAATCCTTCATCTGGAAATGCAGGATTTCAAAAGCAGGAGGGGGAGTAATTGGTTGCCACAGAGGAGAAGAAAGATGGAAGAGGTGGAAGTGAAAAGAGGAAGGTTAACTGAGAATAAGTCTGGTATTGCAACACCATGTAATGCACGAGATGAATAACTTATAATGAGGAAGTTAAAGGTAGATGTGAAGACAGCAGACGGACTAGGAAGTGCTGCTTACCTGATGGACGAGTCTCAATGACATATCCTGTGACAGGTCCCGCCCCTTCTGCGCCCTCTGACCAATGAAGCGTCAAAGCTGATGCAGACTTTGTGACCGAGGTCTGCAAGGGCGAACCGGGGGAGCCTATGAAATATAAGGCATATTATTCCTTTCTGAATAATCAATAACAGCACAAACCGCAGTTCCTAAAATGGTTCTATCAATCATAACAGTTCAGACTGCAGTACAGGCTTCAAAATGTAGGCTGATAACTGAATAACTACTTTCTACTGCTTGCAACTAAGGATCTTAAGACAGGCAGCGCTGCTGTTCTAAAGTGGTTTAGACTGGATAAAGGTCACACTGAAGCTGTAGGGATATATCTTCTTCAAAACAAGTTCTTTATTGGCCACTGTGACCTGACAACACTCACATTCAGTATACTGGTAACACACTTCATTTCCCACAAATCCTTTCACCTTTTAAATAAACTAGCTGATGGTAAATGTCATGTTTTAATTGACATGTTCTCTGTAACACAGATTCAGAATGTTTTCTTTCTCGATTTATTTTTCCTGTGTCAATGACTAATCATCAACCAAAATACTCATATCACTAGGAAAAATTCCCTTAGTATTACCATAGTATTTGGATATGTACCATGGTAAAATCATTAATCAAGTTAGCAAGTCAGTCAATCAATCTTTTTTTATTTTATTTTATTTAAATTAGTGTAGAAAGTAGAAAGTTAACATTTTTATACTGGAAACTTGTTGGCTGCATTTGCTTTGCTATTTGTTCCTACTCATCCACTAATTAATTAATAAAAAAAAAATATATATATTTTTTTATTATTTATTTACTTTTTTGTGCAAAGAAATTCTGTAGAGACATGTCTTTATCTACAAAGCTACATTCAACCACTTACGGTCTTTAAGGTTACCAGAAACATACATTTACTCTAATGTGTTCACATTTTAGACTGGTAGCGTACCCTGGAGTACCATGTTAATACCATGGTATATGAATGAAACATTTAGTACCATGGGATATATACTAGTGACACTGCATTGTTTGCTCAAAATTCTGGCCAATTACACTAGAGCTCATACTCCTTCATAATCCATACCGACCACTCAGAGTCCACCGTTCCTACATGAATCAACTGCACCTCATCTGAAGAACATTTTAAACTGAAGGCGGTCTGTGTGAGGCCCAGCGTCCCACCTCAATGAAGGCGCTGTGTCTTGAGAATGAACAGTTGCTCAAAGGCTACACGAAATCACATTCCAATTACAGTGCACTAATCAAACCATGAAGTTCACACAGCCCTATTTTAATTTCCATCTTCAACTAATTCTAAGAATTAAAATAATGAAATGCTATCTTCCTGGTAGGTCCCAGGTTTTAGAAAAGTGTTTTTTTTAGTAAAGCACTAGTTATATGCAGTCATTTCATATTCAACAATTAATTTAATCCATAGAAAGCCTCCAGCGCTGGTGTCTGTAACTGCAGGGGATGTTTCTTTCTTCCCCAATTATTGTGGGATTTATTATGGAAGTATTATTATGCATTATTATTCATATTTACACATACCTTCCACTGGTCCTGCTGTGATATTGGCTTCCAGTTCGGGTCCGTAACTAATAGTTCTGGCTTGAACCTTGAAGCGATAGGTCACACCCCTCATCAGGTCACGAACCTTCAGCCAGCGTTGCCAGTTCCCCTTGATCTCCACTGTAACTGTCTTACTGACACCTGTCAAAAGAAGGGACTTTATGAATACTGCATAACATTTACCTGTACTCAAAACTAAAAACATTTCATTCTTTTTTTGTTCATTTCAATTCGAATAATGATTTTACTGCATGTTTTCTCTTACTCTTCCTTATATCCTGCTCACCATGAACTGGTGCGGTGGGCTCATAGACCACTCTGTAGCCTTCCACCACTCCATTGGGCTGCAGAGGACCTCCCCATGACACATTCAGGGAGCTTCCTGTCACCTCCGAAAACACCACGTGGCTGGGTGCTCCAGGAGCTTCAGAGAGAAAGACACAGAGAAGTTAAAAATCTCAAAAACATTCTAGCATAGACTTCTTCTAAATATAAAGTATATACATAACAAAAAATCTGGGGTCAGTAAGATACATTGTTTTTTATTAATTAATACTTTTATTCAATAAGGATGCATTAAACTGATCAAAAAAATGACAGTAAAGACATTAATAATGAAAGAATCCTGAAATCCAAAAATGTATTACAGTTTCTACAAAAATATTAAGCAGCATGTTTTTAACTTTGATAATAATAAGAAATGTTACTTGAGCACCAAATCCTGAAGGATCATGTGACACTGAAGACTGAAAATGTAACTTTGCCATAACAAGAATAAATCATATTCAAATATATTCAAATAGAAAACAGTTACTTTAAATTTTATTTTTTTAAATGATATTTTACTGTATTTTTGATCAAATAAATGCAGACTTGGTGAGCATAAGAGACTTCTTTCAAAACTGTTGAAAAATACTGCAACCTCAAATTTTTTTAACTATGTACATATAGAGGGATCAAAAACAGTCAAACTAAATATGCTTCTGTTCTTTAAACACTTTTTGTCTGTACAAATGATATGATCAGAATCACAATTCAAATGAAAAGTTGAGTTGATGAAGGAATGACATCTGTACATGTGCCTAAAAAGTACTTGCACTGCTAAAAGGACGATTTAGTGTTCCAGTAATAATTATTAAAGTGCTTTAAAAAACGTGAGCTGTACATTTCTGCTTTTAAACTGCATTGTCTTACATCTTAAAATGTCCTTTGTCAGTGCATTACAGTAAACACATTTTTTTGTTAAAAAATGTCACTAATGCTATCAACAAAACTTGAACATAGAACATTAAAGGGATAGTTCACCCAAAAAATTACAATTCTGTCACTTCCTCACCCTCAAGTTGGTCTAAACTTGAATTCTTTCTTCTGTTAAATACGAAAGAAGATATTTTTAAGAATGCGAGTAAACAGTTGTTGGTAGCCACGTCCATAGTATTGAGGAAAAAAATAAAAACTATGAAAGTCAATGGCTACCAGCAACTGTTTGGTTAACAACATTCTTCAAATTTTCTTCTTTTGTGTTCAACAAAAGAAAGAACTCAAGTTTGGAGAAACTTGAGGGTGAGGAAATGATGACAGCATTTTTTAATCAAAGGCTTAGTCAGACTTGGACTTGTTTCTATTCGCCAAATCTTGCTTAAAGTCCCCATGAAATCAAAATTAAAGTTTTTTGGGTGTTAGTATCAATATGTTAGTCTTAAGGTTATCTATAAGGCAGTGTGCTCCAAAACAGTGACAAAATTCGCATTTAGAAGATATAAGCATTCAAAGCTTGCAGTTTGTCACTTACGCCAAAATGGCTCAACGATTTTTTTTGACGTCACATCGTACTTCAGCTTCTCATCAAACTTTCTGTCCAATCAAATGCTCTCTAGAATCCGAAGCGCCCGCCCCCTACACTATAAAATAGTGAAGCCGCGGCTGAAATCAGTCACTTGTCCACAGAATTAGTATTTTCTGTACAGTGAATGGCACATAGTGCACTATATAGGGGACAGGGAACAATTCAAACAGTGTAAATATGCTTTACATTGAGGAAAAAAAGAAGTCTGGTTTCGCGCTGTGTCACGCTAACCACCGCACCACACACACACTCTGCTCTGGTCCAGAGACACGATAGCACGGAGTGGATCACATGCGCGAGTCGGCGCAGACCACAAAATGTATCAGAGCTATTTGAATTCTACACAGAATGCTATATTTTATAGCAATATGGATGATATTGTGGCTGGCATACCCTGTCAAATGCGGCTTTACGGAGCTCAACGGCTCTAAATGGCTCTAGCCCAAGCTGTGATGTAAACGAACGCTATTGGCTATTTTAAAAAGGGGCCAGGCTGCTTGATATTTCCCGCCCTGTCTTCCTGTTTCAGTTAAAATGACATCAACACAGAGTAACGCTGCGTGTTTCTAAGCATTTCAGGGGACCTTTAAAGACTCTTAACTGGGGTTATAGCAACAACCTCCACATTTAGTTCCTTAATGGAAGCAGTAATAGTAGGAAAATGACATGGTCTGATAATGTTTTGCACGTCTCGGATGGTTGGCTGGCGCTCATGCGTCTGGATGAGCATAACAGGATCTCAGTGGGACTCACCAGCCTGCAGGGTGCGTCCTTCACGGGCTGCACTGAGCGGTCCATCCCCCGCCGTGTTAAATGCAGACAGTTGCACAAGGTAGTTGGTGTAGGATGTCAGGTTCTTCAGGTGCACGGCTGTATCTGGAACAAACAAAACTAGCTCCTTCTCAGTCTCATTCTGCCTGTTCTTTTCCCAGTAATGGATCTGAGGGAAGAAGTGAATGACACATAGACATACTTAAAAGAATAGTTCACCCAAAAATGAAAAAACTGTATATTTTGAAGATTTCAAGCAATTTCAATCATAAAAAAGTGGAAGTAGTCTCTTATGCTCACCAAGGCTGCTTTTTTTTTCTTCAAATAAATGCATATTGTGAAATATTATTACAATTTAAAATAAATACCTTTTATCTGAATATATTTTATAATGTAATGTATTCCTGTGATGGCAAAGTTCAATTTACTGCAGTCTTCAGTGTCGCATGATCCTTCAGAAATCATTCTAATATGTTGATTTGGTGCTCAAGAAACATTTCTTCTTATTATCAATTCTGAAAACTGTGCTGCTTAATATTTTTGTGGAAACCGTGATATATATTTTATCAAGATTTTCTAGTAAATAGAAAGTTCAAAAGAACAGCATTTATTTGAAATAGAAATCTTTTCTAATATTATAATGGTTTACTGTCACTTCTGATCAATTTAATATGTTTTTGATGAATAAAAGTATTAATTCCTTTAAAAAAATTATATGGACCCCAATTAGTGTATCTTCTTATATTTATGATATATTTTTTTATAATATATGTGCTATATTTTGGAAGTTTACTGCATTGTCCATTCATTAAGCAACTAAGTACATTTTAAGAATGTCTTCTTTTGTGTTCCAAGGTAAAAAAAAAAAGAAGTCATATGAATTCGGAACAACATGAGTGTGAGGAAATGATGACAAAATGTTCATTTTTGGGAAACTAATCCTTTAAATACACATACACACACTAAAATTAGACTTGAATGAAATATGTATATCCATGAAGTGATACTTTGTGTGTTTGTGGACAGAACAGAAGGATTCATAACCAGTTCCTGTTCAAATCTCTATGAGAGACAGATGTACAGATGGCGTAAATAGGAAAACAACGGTGGAAGCTAATGCGGTGAAATCAACAGATGACAGTGAGATAAGGGAAGACAGACTGCAGATGAACGACAGTTTATTTATGCCGGTAAACAGATGGACTGCCTGACTGATTTTGGAAAATACTTTTCATCAAATTCAGAGCTGATTAAACAACTGAACATTATGTATTCATGCATTAAAATGATCAACCCAGAGTGTACAATGTGACAAACACAACGAGTGCATGGGAATTATGGGTCATTTCTATTGGTGTAAATATGCATTTGACAAATAAAAACACAGAATTTAATAAACAATTACAATTATTAATACCTATTGTCTTATGGCCATTCACACAGGATGCCTTCTTGCAGCTGTCTGCACTATTTATGTAAACATAAATCTTTGATCTTTGTAATGCATTTTACTGTTTTTTTTGTTTTGTTTTGTATTTGTGAATTGTATGGATCATATTTTGTGTATGTATGTGGGTAAAAAAAATTATCATCACCTTGTATCCTTGAATATTTCCGTTTTGTGTTTCGACAGGTGGAGGCTGCCACTCTACATCCAGCTGACTAGAGGACACAGATTTCACCTGTATGTTCTGAGGAGCCACTGAAGGAGCTGTGAACACACACACACACACACACACACAAATGTATGATTTTAAATAGAGCAACAAACAAATCAAACGTGCATGTGTCAACAGCGGACAGGATGAGAATACCACAGAGGGAAAACCATTTACTTCATAGACTACAGTATCTGTCTCATATAAAGGCCAAATGTCACATGACATTTCTCTGTGGCACAATGGACAGTGACTAAACGGAAAGGAAAGAGGTTTAGTGATTTATTGACACACTGAAATGTGTAAAACATAATGTCTTATAAAACTTTAGCTTTTCATTCAAGAACAAGTTTTTGGTGTTCTCCTTTTTCTCTCATGTAGTCACTATTGTGGCGCTAAACTATTAAACAGAGTGTGTGATTTATGCATTATATTTTGTTTGTTTAATTCAGGATACATTAAATTAATCAAAAGTGATTTTTTTTAATATTACAAAAGATATCTATTTCAAATAAATGCTGTTCTTTTGAACTTTATATTCATTAATGAATCCAGAAAAAAATGATCATAGTTTCCACAAAAATATTATACCATTGATAATAATATGAAATGTTTCTTGAGCAGCCAATCAGCATATTACAATGATTTCTGAAGGATCATGTGACACTGAAGACTGCAGTAATGATGCTGAAAATTCAGCTTTACCATCAAAGGAATAAATTACATTTGAAAATATATTAAAATAGATTTCAAATTTGAATAATATTTCATAATTTTACTGTATTTTTGAACAAATAAATGCAGCCTTGGTGGGCATAAATTAATAAAATATCTGTTGCTTCATGTTATGGTCAGTTTGTGTTACTTTAGGCTGTATGTGTCAAATCCTCATTTCAGCTCATTCTACACTCCTATAATGAAAGATGTGTAATTAAGATGGCCTTGTTGTCTTCATGTGTTAAAGTCATGCCAGAGGGATGCTATATTTAATGATGTGCCCCTTATTCGGATCTTTGGGAGAGGTCAGATGTGCAAACTAATCTGATTTGTGCACATGGCTCATTTTTTAAATTAGCTTAGGTAATGGGCTTTCATAATGCTCTACATATCAGATGAGTTTACAATCAAATTTGGTTTGACATGTACTGTGACACACGTTCACATTCAACTCAGCCATATAGACTGAAGAGAGGTCATTTAGACTTTTATACAGCATTCAGGAAAGCTCTTGTATATAAGTATATAATTTCAGCGATTCCTATCTATATTTACACAATGAGGTAAAGCATAGAACTTATATTTTGACACATTTCTGATGTCTGTTTACTTTCACTTAAGACATAACTGATTGTTTTCGTATTAATACCACACCAGACAGCACATCGCTGGTGAAATTGATCTGCGCTGCATAGTGGAAACTGGTCTGTGACACATTATCAATAGGTCACGCAAATGGATCCATTGCGCGTTGTCTAATGGGTTGTGCAGATAATTGGTCAACATTGCACGATTCAAGTCTCACTTTTCTTTTCCATACAGCTCATAACTACAAACCCGATTCCAAAAAAGTTGGGACACTGTACAAATTGTGAATAAAAACAGAATGCAATGATGTGGAAATTTCAAATTTCAATATTTTATTCAGAATACAACAGATGACATATCAAATGTTTAAACTGAGAAAATGTATCATTTTAAGGGAAAAATAAGTTCATTTTAAATTTCATGGCATCAACACATCTCAAAAAAGTTGGGACAAGGCCATGTTTACCACTGTGTGGCATCCCCTCTTCTTTTTATAACAGTCTGCAAACGTCTGGGGACTGAGACAAGTTGCTCAAGTTTAGGAATAGGAATGTTGTCCCATTCTTGTCTAATACAGGCTTCTAGTTGCTCAACTGTCTTAGGTCTTCTTTGTCACATCTTCCTCTTTATGATGCACCAAATGTTTTCTATAAGGGCTCGAAGATCACGGGCATCCAGTATGGTTTTCCGGCCTTGACCCTTACGCACAGAGGTTGTTCCAGATTCTCTGAATCTTTGGATGGTATTATGCACTGTAGATGATGATAACTTTAAACTCTTTGCAATTTTTCTCTGAGAAACTCCTTTCTGATATTGCTCCACTATTTTTCACCGCAGCATTGGGGGAATTGGTGATCCTCTGCCCATCTTGACTTCTGAGAGACACTGCCACTCTGAGAGGCTCTTTTTATACCCAATCATGTTGCCAATTGACCTAATAAGTTGCAAATTGGTCCTCCAGCTGTTCCTTATATGTACATTTAACTTTTCCGGCCACTTATTGCTACCTGTCCCAACTTTTTTGGAACGTGTAGCTCTCATGAAATCCAAAATGAGCCAATATTTGGCATGACATTTCAAAATGTCCCACTTTCAACATTTGATATGTTATCTATATTCTATTGTGAATAAAATATAAGTTTATGAGATTTGTAAATTATTCCATTCCTTTTTTACTCACAATTTGTACAGTGTCCCAACTTTTTTGGAATCGGGTTTGTATATAAAAACAGGTTGTGTGACTTTGAGGAAGTATTGCATATAGCATGCAACTATCACTTGTGTGCAAATGCATTCCTTGTTATCATTACCCAAGCGCTAAGTTCTCAGACCAGACCAAGTAAGTCTGATGATCAGATATTAGATTTAAAATCAAACAACTACACTTCAAAAAAGCACTCTGGGTTTCCCAAAGTTTGTGGTCCAAGTTTTAGAGCTGAGCCATAGCAGTGATCTTAATAAGGCATAAAAACATACCTGCTTCTCCCACAAACACCTCAACAGGTGCACTTGAAGGGCTCTCTCCAACAACATTAAATGCTGTCAGGACAATCGTGTATCGTCTGTACTTGCTGAGCTCTGAAATACACCAATAAAGATGAAGAAAAATAAGATGGAAGGTGCAGTCAAAGAGTTTTGAGGTACTAGTTTAGAGAAATGCAGAGAAAAAGACCCCAAAAATGTAAAACTAGTCAACGGAAGAGGGACATGGATATGAGATAATGGGTGTGGAAATGAGGTGGAGAACGAAATAGATTTACATTTTTCCCCTTCCTCACAGCAAATAGTGACAGGACCAGAGGCAAAACAACAAAGCACAAAGACTAGGGGAAGTGTTTGTTATAGCGGTAGAGGAGATCAGAGGATTGAACAGGGAGTTTGAAAGCCTTCGGGCTTGAATGTGACTCTGTTAACACTTCAAAGATTACAACTATTGAAACAACTCAGCAATTAAAATAATATCAAAATATACTTACGCGTTAATTCAAATTCTGTTAATGAAGGGCTGCTCACTGTCTTAAAAGTGCTCTTAGCTGTTTGAGTTGTGAAATAAACCCAGAGAGAGAGAGGAAAAGAGAATAAGAGAGAGAAATTACACAAGGGACATTGTTTAATATGCACAGAAGACAAAACAGTCAGCTGAAACAGAAAGTAGCACAACATGGACAAAATATATTTATAACTGGAAAAATATATATATTAGGAATATGGTACCATTATGAAAAACAACACATTTCACCTAGTAACAAAAAATCTAATTCAAAACATTAATTTCAGTAATAAACAAAAATTCTAGCTGTGAAGGCAAAAGCAGAAAGATATAGATAGATAGATAGATAGATAGATAGATAGATAGATAGATAGATAGATAGATAGATAGATAGATAGAGACAGACAGACAGACAGATAGATAGATAGATAGATAGATAGATAGATAGATAGATAGATAGATAGATAGATAGAGATAGGAAGACAGCTAAATAGAACGACAGAAAGACAGACTGATAGATAAACTGAATGATAGACAGATCGATAGATAGAACGACGGACAAACAGTTAGACAGAACTACAGACAATCAGACAGACAGACTAACCTCTGAACTCCGGACTGATTGTTGATTGGTTGGTTGCTGTCAATGGCTCGTCTGGACTGTTTTCACGTGGAAGTTCCCGGTAATACACGCGATATCCCACAAGAATCCCATTGACAGTTCCCTCTGCAGGCGGCTGCAGACACAGATACATATCGAGTTTCAGTCAGTCTCCAAGTAGCAAACTGCCGTTTTAATTACTCCATTTAACTCGGGCTAGGAAATATTCACCTGACTTTTCAGCATATGACCTGTGATGCTACTTAATGAAAGAATGTTAAAGACAGTGCCTATGCTGTCTGCTGCCGGCTAATTAGCAGTTCGAGACGGTGACAGAAAGTAATTACCGCACAATGCACGTCAGCCCAGGAGATAGCACAGATCAACAGAGGACAAGTTAGCCGAGACCACAGGTCAGTAAAGGCTTGATCTGGTTGTTCTTACTCTGACTCACTCTAACATGCGTTCTCACTCTCCTATTCTATTATGGACGTGTCTTATTTAGTATGTGATCAGTGTTATAGGCAAAGTTAATTAAGACGGGGTCAAAACAGGCCAGCTTTGTAAATGTATCCGTATGTGTGTGAATAGATAGAGGATGTACGTGAAATGACTGCTAACTAATTAGAGGGTAAAGAGTAAGGCTAAGAACCTGCTTGCCAAACATAATTAACATTGAGAGGTGCAGCGGAATACTTTGCACACAAGTCTGCTATTAAACGTTGTTGGACAATTTGAACCCCTGAACCTTCAGTTAAATGGAAAGACAGGAAAAGTTCCTGTGACACCTACTCGTGCTAAAGCTGTTTCAAAACTTAGTGGGCATTGTAAGCATCACAGGCATGCTGTCCACATGAGGACTCCTCCAACATTTAGACAATGTTTTGATGATAAGGCAATCCCATAACACACTGCAACAAGGTTTACTGTTCAAAAATTTGGGCTGGTAAAGATGTTTTTGAAAAAAAGTATTGTTAACTCTTTGTTTTACAGTGTTTTACCTGCCATTGGACAATCACAGATGTTGTGGTTGAAGGTTTGATGTTCAAAATGACAGGCGCTTCATCTGGCACTGTAATACACAGACAAACACATTCAATCAATCAATTAATTAATCAATAAGTCTATCTATCTATCTATCTATCTATCTATCTATCTATCTATCTATCTATCTATCGTTCGTCTGTCTGTCTATCTATCGTTCGTTCGTCTGTCTGTCTGTCTGTCTGTCTGTCTGTCTGTCTGTCTGTCTGTCTGTCTATCTATCTATCTATCTATCATTCGTCTGTCTGTCTGTTTGTCTATCTATCGTTCGTCTGTCTCTCTGTCTGTCTGTCTATCTATTGTTCGTCTGTCTCTCTGTCTGTCTGTCTATCTATTGTTCGTCTGTCTGTCTGTCTGTCTATCTATCGTTCGTTCGTTCGTCTGTCTGTCTGTCTGTCTGTCTGTTTGTCTATCTATCTATCTATCGTTCGTCTGTCTGTCTATCTATTTATCTATCGTCTGTCTGTCTGTCTATCTATCTATCTATCGTTCGTCTGTCTGTCTGTCTGTCTATCTATCTATCATTCGTCTGTCTGTCTGTCTGTCTATCTATCGTTCGTCTGTCTGTCTATCTATTTATCTATCGTCTGTCTGTCTGTCTATCTATCGATCTATCGTTCGTCTGTCTGTCTGTCTGTCTATCTATCTATCTATCATTC